TAAGTCAGTAGGTCTCTATACAACACGAGATTTTGTAGGTGGGTATAGGAAAGTTAAGTTTGTAAACGTACAATAAAAGTAATTATATTAATTTTGAAGCATAAATGATGTATGGTGTAGGTTACGCTTTTATTTTTAATATTGTGACCTTGAAATAGGAAAGGGTGTGTGTGTAAATCTAAACCACTTTTTAAAACGTGTGGGGGAAGTAAATATACACTCCTGTCTAGCGTGGCGTGGGGGGGGGGGGGGAAGACCTCGAATACAACGTGGCGAGAGGGTGCGGGAGAGTACGAGAGTTGGAAGGGTAGTACGAGAGTTGGATAGAGAGTACGGGAGTTGGCGAGAGAGTACGAGAGTTGGAGAGAGAGAGAGTACGGGAGTTGGCGAGAGAGTACGGGAGGGTACGGGAGATGGCGAGAGCGTACGGGAGCCGGCGAGAGGGTACGAGAGCCGGCGAGAGGGTACGTTAGTTTTGTCAATGAAACACGACGCCAGCAGACGGTGTCGACCCAGCCTCTGGGGCCGGGGCACGATCGTAAATGTCAAGATCACAGGTCTGGCAGGGAGACATTGACTGACTGGGGCCCCACGGCCGGGGGGAGCCGGGGCACAATGACCTGCTCGCCTGCCAACAGCCTAGACACAGCGGCGTGGGCCGGAGCCGGGGACTGCGGCTCGCTATGCCGTTTATGTGGCGCGGGGCCATCTTCTCGGACACTTGAAGAGTCCAGGGCCGCAGAAGGTTGAGAGAAACCTTCCAGGAATTTCTGAAAGTGTCGGGGAGAATGCCATATAGTTGGGGGGGGGGGGGGGGTTGTCTGGTCCAGTCGTGGTTATTTCCCCTCGGACTGGGATACCGCACTTTGATCTAGAGTTCTCGTTCTTTTCGTTCATTTGGAGATAGAACTAGGTACAGAAATATCAAGCCTGTGCTTAAGCCCAAAGTCAATAACTACCAATACATATAAGTCCACTCATAGACTCAGATCCCTTGTTAGACGAAGGTCCCTAAATCCTTTGCCAGAGAAAGGCCCCATAAAATTCCACGTATTTACAATTCATTAGCCCGCTAATAGTTGGACGTTTATTTGGTCTGAAATCCTTCAGACCAGCGACTCACTAGTTGAAAGCTGACCGCGGCCATCACCTGATCGTTAGCTGAAGTGCTGACTCCAACCGGTCAAGCGTCAGGCAGGTGATCGACTCTGGCGGAGTTGGTGGAGTCTATAGGATGAAATGAGTCGGGGTCAGTTGGTTTTCACAGCCGCCACTACAGGGGCAGCTGATAGCAGATTACACTGTAGGCCTGTAGGTTTTAACACAAGGAGGAATTTTCCGATAGGCTGACATTTTTTGTTCAATTCTGTATAGTCTTTGTATTTTCATCGAGGCTGAGTTTTTTTGTTCAATTCCGTACAATCCATGAGTTTTCCGATAGGCTGAGACGATAAAAAAAAAATGCTGAAATTTTTGTTCAATTCCGTACAGTCCATGACTTTTCCGATAGGGTGAGATTTTTAATTCAATATCGTACAGTTAAAATCGCAAACTTAAGTTAGACCTTATGAATATACACTTAATCTAATTTAGTGTTTGTGCGAGTTTGTGTGTGTTCAAATGTTTCTTAGTGCAACTGTTTGTGCGTCGTGTCTAACTTTAGTTTTGTATAACAAATTTTATTTGATCATTTTATGCATAAAATCATCTGTTGTACATAGTTTATTTTTACACTTAACTGTATAAAATAATGTAAATGCAAAAAAGAAATTATATATTAACAAGTTCAGTTCTTTACCCAACAAAATGTCTACGCTGTACTCTACTATCGTGCTGTTGATATTATGTTCCAAGTTCCAAGTTCAAAGTTACAGAATGTGATATTTTTATACATTACTTTTCCCTTCTTCAAACATTCAACCCAATTTACAGGTTGTAAACTTTTTCTTTCCTTCACACTCCTCTTTATCCCTTGGTAAACTGGCAACATTATGTTTCCTCAGGGTATTTCTACACCACAAATAGCTCGGCGTGGAGGGCAGAAAAATATACGTCAAAATTATGTTTTAACTTAATTCTTGTAGCGATGGAGTTGTTCAAATTGAAACAAAAAGTTTTGTAATTAAGAGGAGTCTAGAAGCTGTGTAATTAGGAGCATTACGAAATATGTATTTAATGACAATTAGCGCACATCTTCAAACTCTTGTTTTACGATACATTTCTCATTGAATTGAAACATCATATTTGAGCTGAACCATCAACTTTCTAGTTGAACTGTACAATCATATTTCTCTTAGTACGGTACCATCACATTTTCATAGAACGGTACCATCAAATTTCCTGCTCCAACTTTTTAAAACTCCCACAATACAAGCGCCGGTTTTCCTATAGTGTGAAAAAATCATCTTCGGTCAGGCTAATAATGTGTGGGGAGGGAGGATGACGGCGGGGGAGGGAGGGGGTGGATTTTACCTGGAGTTTGAAAGATTTGGTAGCTGGTTCGGTTCCTGTAGTATGCCAGAGTCTTTCTGGCGATATGATAATACAGTGGTCAATCTGACGACCGTTCGGTCAAGAAGACTGGTTGTGTTTGGTTTTGATAGTAGCCCAGTGTATGCTAGTTTATCTGGCCAATGATGGTCATAAAATTAATGAAACGAAGGGAACCTAAGGTAAGTGATGATGTAAATTATGGTTTAGAAAAATATCACAGAACCAATTACACATCAAACACAACACAATGCCAAATACAGTTATTAAAAATCAGGTTTTTGAACATACAAACTCACACAACCACACACACAAACATAAACACACACAAAGTCCGCCCCCTCATACATACCACGTCATAAACACACAGCTACATAATCTCATACTTCATATCAAGAAAATACACATTTCATATACAACAACGTATACAACAACAGCACACATATATAATACGCAATATCATAATAAAAACACCACACATCTCATACCACACAGAATACAACAACACCACACACAACGCTAGTGTGGAGAAACTTTACCCCTTTAATGTTTACAAACATTAAATTTACAAAAATTTACAAACATTGATTTAAAAAAACATTAAATTTACAAACATAAAATATACAAACATTAAGTTTACAAACATTAAGTTTACAAACATTAAGTTTACAAACATTAAGTTTACAAACATTAAGTTTACAAACTTTAAACGCGTGCTTCGTCCCAGCCTTACCTTGTACCTGCCCAGAGAGGTGTGTTAACCTCATCTTAAAAACAGAAACATGACCCCTACCTCCTATGCTAACTCCCCTCACCTCCAATACTCCCCCCCCCCCATTTCCTCCCCTTCCCCACGTTTTATCCACCCCCCCCCCCAACTCAGACACTGTAAGCGTCCATCCAAACTTTCCATCTAATTAACAAATTTTTTTTGCTTACACTTTAAAAAACCCGAAACTTCAATTTTTTAACGCATTTCTTTAATAGCCAGAGACACCGATAAAAAGAAGGAGAGTCGAGGATTAATTTAGTTGATAAAACGTCCAGTAATTCTAGAGTGAATTTACTCAGCGAACATTAAACGTGGGTTTAAATGGTGGAGTCTCCCAGACAGAAATAATATATCAGATAAATTAAAGCAAGATTTATGGCGTTAAAAATGTGGGGCGGGCTGGTTACACGGGGGATGTTTAACATTAACCTTGTTTAGTTTGTAAATAACGTTAAACTGTGTTGGGAGGGGGTGGGTTATAGGGGGGAGGGGGAGGTTTATAGATAGGGGGTGGGGGTGTGAGGTTTATAGGTGGGGGTGTGAGGTTTATATATAGGATTGGGGGGGGAGGGGTGAGAAGTTTATAAAGTGGGGTAAGGGTGTGATGTTTATATGGGGAGGGGAGAAATTTATATCAACTGATTTGGGACGTCGTGTATTTTAGATTTAATGGGTGGGTTGTGATGAGTAATTACTGATTGGTTACTGAACTTGTCATGGGAGAGTGACACCTAAATGACAGTCTGATGTATTATAATTTATACTTACTAAAGATAATACAGTCTTATACGTATATGTCAGAGTGACTATCTGCTAAATACAGTTTGATGTAGATTTGATACTTTCTTACCAAACTGATATTGTTGTGTGTATACATTGTATTGTATAAGGAAACAACAATACGTGTTGGTAATCTTTTAATTTAGGGATAAAAAAACAGTTTCGACACATGATCTTGCACACAACAGTGTGGCTGAGATCCAAAGTGAATAAAAAAGTAAGCCTACTGAATTCTCTCAGACAGAAACAAGCAATATTTTTTGTAAACGTTTTTGTTGATAAACACACCTAACCCAGCTTTAACCCTAACCCCCACCCTTGTATTCCTGTCTCAGACTTAATCCTAAACTCGCTGTTAACAACGACAGAGGGGGTGAGTCTGTTTATCAACACACAAGGAACAAGTAGACCCTACAACAATACATGGTATTATATCCCCTCTATACCTACACACACGGGCGTTGGAGACTTGGTGGGATTTTTGTTTTTATTTCACGTGGAGGTTAGTCCGTTATTCACGAGGTAGACCGTACGATGGGGGTGTGGGCGGGGGGGGGGGGGGGAGGGGGGGTGCAGACTTGCTGGATCATTAGTGTTAAGTATTGTATAACCATAGGGTCTACTTTAATATATCTTTATATAAGGCCCTATATAAATAGTGCCTATATATATTTTGCCTGCATATATATATATATATATATATATATATATATATATATATATATATATATATATATATATATATATATATATATATATATATATATATATGTGTGTGTGTGTGTGTGTGTGAGTGTTTGTATGTGAATACTTGTGTTATGGTCATTCATTTTATCACACTTAATGTACTGTTATCTAAAAAGCCTAACCCGTAGTGTACATACGGTACGGCTAACCGAATTGTTCCACACTGACATCCACACACACAAAAAGTAAAAAAAAAAACGTGTCAACTCACAGTCTCTGCACGTGTTTTGGTATCCCCCGCGGGACATAGTTCAAGTTCCTGAAACTGCAGTCAACAAAACCACGTGACCTGCAGTCGCACTCCCGGGGACAGCGGTCAGTGCCGAGGCCCCCCAGGGGCAGGACTAGCAGGACGAGGCAGGCCCAGAAAAGTTGCCCCGCCATTTGACGGCGACCGGCCCTCACTACGTCACAGGGGCGAAGGTTCATGACGAGACGCCAGACGGGCGAAAGTCCATGACGTATGGATGACACGGACATGAAGGACTGCAGACGGCTACATAGGCTACAGACGGCTACATACTCCCCCGCGTAGACTGGTCAACTCCTGGTTAATCCTCCTCGCAGGCCGGGCTAATCCTCAACAAAGGTAATCCTTAATCCTTCCGGACCGAATCTGATAATCCAAGATCTGCCGGTCTCACGGCCCAGGAGCCATGTGAACCAGCCTTCAAGTAGCCGGCTCTCGAGATTAATCTCCAGTGATCTCTGTAGACAAACAAACTAATTTCCGCTAGGAATTCAACCAATGAAGAAACACTACTATAGAAATAATAAGTAAACATTAACTATTAACACACAACACAATTTTATAAAATGCTAGATCCCTAGTAGGTAATATGTTGTAGCCAAATATTGAAGTCTAAAATTTTAAACTAATTTAGCCAAAACTCCATTTAAGCAGGTATAATTTAATTATTTGGCAACAGACATGATATTTTAATTAGCTTATTCATTCAATTTTGCTCTTCGACGTTTTATTAAGTTTGCGAAATAGACTTAATTAAGCTAATAATCAATACGCAGTATTAATCTAATTATTTCGGGGGCTGAAATAGTTTTATCTAAAATACTCAAATGATTGTGATATTGTTTTACTTTTAAGTTTAACTGAATTGGAAAAATTTAAATTTTTAAACTAATTATCATATTTTTACTTTGCACAATTTCACTGGTTAAAATGAGGATTAAAATCAAATAGCGTCCCAATCTAACTTTTTAAAAGAATGTGTTTCTTACCCTTCTATTAAGTTAAAAATAAACTCACACGTTAAATTTCTTATAATTAAATTAACAAACTATCCTACAATTCACTTAAGTAATCTGATCACGTAGAATATTTCCAGTACAGGTTAAATCTAGTCCCTAAGATTTAGCTTCACGACTACGATAAGGGTACGGTCACTCCAACACAAAACAATAGAACTGTTTCACTTTGAAACGTATCCTCAATAAATCCTGAAATCACTAACTTGGGCCAAACTTTCAAACCGAGGCCTCACCGCCGTTTGTGAACGATTCCGCTTGCGGCACTTGGCTAGCGTGCCCGCTTCGCTACTCCTTGGGACCGATCACGCAGCGATGGCGGGCAAAGAACGATAACCCACGGCGTAGGGCACAACTCCGGGACAACTCTGGCGGCTTGAGCAGTACGCTAATCAAATTACTAAGCACTAAGTGTGGTTTGTTGTCGATCCAAGTTACCAAATGTAAAAGTGGAATTCGTTTGGTGTCACTCAGTGGCGTAGATAAGGTGAGGTGACGTGGGGTGGGGGAGGGTGTACCGCCAGTACGGCACTATTCACTTCATCGAAGGTTGCATACTTACCTAGGTACTTACCTAGTAGGGATATATATATATATATATCCCTACTAAAGATTTGAACTCGCTGACCTGTCTTGCGTTATATAAATCACTTATTTTAATCTTTCCTCCCAAAACGTAATCTTCTATACATACGTGCAATACTTGAGTATGATGATTGTTAAAAGTAACGAATGTCAACTTGTACATAATTTAAACAATAGGTAACGAAAACTGTGTACCCACAATCACGTTTGCTATAGTTACAAGGGCAGACGATGAAGGTTTACTTTCTGGTTCAACGGTTTAATGTGACGTCACACGGACGTCATAAATCCAGCGGAAATTAAATCTGACAGACGAAATTTGAAATTACCATACTCCAGCTTGCCCTACTTTAACTAGGTCTGGCATTAATTAAACGAAGAGGGTATCCTATATAATTCAATTTGTTTTTCAAAATAAATCGTTATTTTAAAAAAATTAATCGTTATTTTTAAAAATCCCAGGTTTTGAATAATTTGCTAATACGATTTTGTTTAACGCGGTTTATGAAACTAAAAACTTCTACACATAAAGATCTTCTATACAACAACTAAATTTAGAAAGTTAATCTAAAGTTTGCTGTTGATATGTAACATAGGCCTGCAAATATCAAAAAAATTATAGGTAGATAAAAACAACAACAACAACAAGCACTGATTTAATTGAAAGTTTAGAACAACATTTCAATGTTGTAAAGTTATGTTGATACATTTTAAAGTGGCCTGGATTTACTGCGTGACATTATTGGTGTATCTTTAAATCAGTGTTTCTTCCAGACTTTTTTCTCCGGGGGGCACTTGAAATTTTCGGGGGGGCGGTAGACTTTCTTCGGGGGGGTGGACACTGTTAAAAGTATATATTTTCTATATAAATTATATAAATTTCATTTCGTCCGGGGGGGGCGGTAAAAAATTTTCGGGGGGGCTTCGCCCCCCCGAAGAGATGCCTGGAAGAAACTCTGCTTTAAATGTGACGTTTGATTGTAGAAACATACAAGCGTGTGAGGGTTCTACTTGAAAAAGGTAGTTGAATCGTTAAGTTTTTTCGTTCATGAAATTAATTTTTTAGCTAGTGGTGATGTTAGGTTTTTATTTTATATTTGCGGTTTATGTGTTAAGGAAGATAATTTTATGCTAGACCACACCCGAAGGTAGGGACCACCAAAAGACGATGGTCAACAGAGAGAAACAACAAACACAAACACCACGAACTCAATACAGACCACAAAACACTGAGAGACTACTAAATGTATAAAACACGGAAGGTGACCACTTACACAAGACGTGACCTCTTACACACGAGGTGACCACTTACACACGAGGTGACCACTTACACAAGAGGTGACCACTAATACAAGCGCTTACGACTTACAATAGAGAGGACCACAAACTCGGGGAGAGACCACCAACAAAGAAAGAAACAACCACGAAATCAGAGGCGTAGCGATGGGGGGTGGGGGGAAGGGGGGTACATATGTCCCCGGGCGCCAACCTTAGGGGGCGCCAAAATGGGTTGTAAACACAAATTAAAATGTCATTTTAGCTGCATTTTTTAAGTTTGAGGTGGGGGGTGCAAATCGAAACTTTGAGGGGGGAGGGGGTGCAAATCGAAAGTTTGAAAGTTTGAGGGGGACGCAAATTGAACATTTTCTCCCGAGGGGGGCGCCAAATTGAAAGTTTGTCCCCGGGCGCCGGAAAGGGTCGCTACGCCTCTGCACGAAATAGGGACCACAAACTCAGGGAGGGACCACCAACAAGTTGGACCACTAACCATCATCCGGCACGTACAACGAACTCGTGAATACAGGCTTTCAACGTAAATCAAGAGAGACGTCGACACGCAAGGAAAAGAGCTATCAAAATCAACTCCCCCTCAATCATAAAAAAAAATTACCATCAAAATTCACCACCCATCCGCGCCTATAGATCCGAAACGTTATCAACCGCACGTCATTTCTTGCCTCTGTATGCAATGTGTGTTCAAAAATTTAACAAACCCACGTCTCTTTTACCGAGAATTACCACTCCGCGCACGGACCACGCAACCGCGACCCCCACCCCCACACCTGGGTCAGGTATCCCAGGTGTTAAGCATTGTCTGGAGCGGCCGTCCGCCGTCTGACACGGGTCTGCTGCTGTAGTATGGGGACTTGAGGTAAGTAGTTAAATGTGGCCGGTGATGGCCCAGGTAGGTGGTCTATTCTACCTGCCAGCATCGCCGCTGCGATCAAGACGGTGTAGACTAAGGTAATTACATAGTCCCTGGTTGGGGTCTGGGCGTTACGTTGTGGTTAATGGCTGTACATTTTTACTGACCAGCGTTGGAGGTGTCGGATACCTACAACTGGGGCTGTACTATTCTTACAGCAAAGTACTATATACAGCAGATTTATACAACAGCATTCTTCTGCAACTAAAACAGCATTTTTATAACATTTTTTTTACAATTTATGTGCTTAAAAGACTATTTAACTTTAATTAATCATTAATGGAATTGGGAAAAAAAGAATTTTTCTTCTGTACATTTTGCAATTTTTTGCTTTGGTGTCACCCCCTAAATAGTGTCACACAGTACGGCCCGCACGGTCGCACCCCCGCCCCGCGTGGTCTAACAGTAGAATGCTAGACTGCTAGCCCGAAAGTCTCGAGTTCGAATCCGGGTTCAAGGCAGTAGAATGTCCCTGAGTCAACCCAGCACTGATGAGTACCTAATTCACGTTAGGGAAACAAAGGCGGCTGGACATTGTACTGACCACACTTCATATGCCGAGGTCTCTGAAGCAGATGGACTACTTCATCTGCCCCATGTGTTTTGAGCACGAACGGGAAAAGATGATGATGATACTACCAATGGATGGATGGTTGAATGGTAGAGCATTAGATTGCAACCTGAAAGTCTCCAGTTCGGATCCCGGGTAGAGTGCGCATAACTCTCCTAGTCCAGCACTGATGGGTACATGATTCACGTTAAGGAAACTAAAGCTGACTGAGCATTGTGCTGACCACACTATCCCTTGATATACCGATGTCACAGAAACAGGTCAATTCTACTTCACCTGCCCAATAGACCATAAGGTTCGAAAGGGTCCTCTTGACACAACAACACTCCCGTACTTTGCATTTTTTCTCACCACCATTTCTACTACTTCACCAACCGACAATCGAACTTTTTCCCAAATCGATCGATCGATTTCTGTTAATGTTATTGTCTTATGGGCTTCCCGTTCAAGAAAAAAATCAATTTAAACGGTTTAGGCACTTTTCCTATTCTTAATTCCTTTCTCCCGTACAAGTAGGTACTAAAATATTCAGCAATGGCCACACAACAAGCCATAGATTTAAGTATGCAAATATATGTTTCTTGTTTTTTTTTCCAAACAGATAGTTATACATGAATGATGGGTACTAAATTTGACTGAAATTCAACAAACCAAGAAGCGACTACCAGGGGCTTGCAATGATATTTGTTACGATTTAGTGTCAAATAAAAGAAGGTAACAAGTCATTGTAAAAGAAAATAAGTTTACATAATGTACATTGTGCGTTTTCATGAAAAGTTTTCCATGTGGTTCTTTAAGTTAGTATTATTATATGCCAGCATTATGGAAAGTCGTTCTTTTGTCCATTTCGGCCTTTTAATTGTCGAACTTTTGTCTCTCTCTCCCCGATTAAAAACTCAGTGTGGGTATTTTCTTACACAAAAATAAAAATTCTTTTTATATACATCTAATTCTACTAGCTTTCTTTAGAACGTCGAGCAAGGTATTTCTTGTATGTTTTAACATAATAAGTAATCAAATGTAACTAATCCGAGTATAAAACGCAGTAAAAATAATTCCAATACCTTTTACGAAGTGACTTCTCTGAAAAAGATTCGTCGGCAGAAGATACGAAACTCAATAGTACTGCGCATGAGCAGTGACCTTAATAGCTGCGCTAGGGTTAGGATTAAGGCAAGGATTAGGATTATGGTTAGGGTTAGGGATAGAGCTAGAGTTAAAGTTCTGCGGTTTTTTTTCCGGCTAGAATCGGCCTATTTTTTTTTACTAACACAAAAATAAATTAAAAGAAGACCTAGACAGTTGTCAACAGTAACGTGCTCATTAAATGCTGACGATCAACTCACATCTCACCACGTCACAACCGAAAACAGACAGTGACCCACGTCAACATCATTACCTGATGACGTCACGTGTCATCACGACGACACCAAATGAGAACTCACGTGATTCTAGAAGCTGGTACATCCGGTGCTGTAACTGATTTACCTGACAGAAAACTGGTTAAACAGAATTTCTATCACCTAGCATAAACTAAGGAAAACTCTCATGTCAGGTATAATTGGTATTGATTTTATATCGTGCTCTCATTCTATTGTTTACATAAGACAAAGGCCTGGACAAATACTTAATATGACGTCCTCAGACGACTAAGGATTGTTAAAAAATAATATTATAGGCGCCCTTTTTGGCCAAGAGTCGAAATTCGCTATAGTGTAAACCAGGGGTTTCCAAACTACGGCCTGCGGGCCGGATGCGGCCCGCGATGTCCTCTCATCCGACCCGCGGAGATCTTTTTGTCAACGGAAAAAAACAGTTTGTTGGT